ATGTTACAGGTAAACACGCAGCCGGCCCCCTGCAGGCCGCTGACGGGAAACGTCACTTATCAGACGCCTGCGGACTTCAAACTCATGCCCCTCCGTTGGCTCAGGGCCTGGAAAGAAAAAAGCAAACTGCCGACTGAATCCTTCCTAATTTAATTCAAATATTTGCCCAGTGTCCTCTAAATACAGAATCCAGCTGGGAGCCCTCTGTGAGCTGACATGCGACGCTGGCCAGTACTGCAAGTGCAGCGTAAAACTTCCTCACTAGTAGGGACGAAGAAAGCAGTCCTGTGCTCAATTTAAATATTTTCCCAGCAACTATCAGATGGTGATCTCCAACACGGAGAGTAAGAACAAGACAAACACATAGCGTTTCCTTTTTAAGAGTAGCGGTTCTGGGCTCTGCGATATCAGCCAGAGGCTCCGTGGATTTGCTAAGCAAATGGGCCGGGAGCCTCTGTGAATGACGGGCAGTGTCCTCGCTCGCCTCATGCAAATGAAACAGTGCCGGTCCAGGTGGTGGGGGGCGGCTGGGAGCCGGCGGCACCGACCGGCCCGTGCGGGCTCACGTGGAAGGTTCCGGAGGCTGGTGTTTCAGTTCCAGCCTGGGGCAACGAGCTTGCTGGCGTCGGCAGATTAGATTTTTCGGTTAAAGAGTGAGATTTCACTTTATCTCCGCCCGGTGCCTATCTACAGCTTCCGGCGTCACAGCTTGGGGGAGGCAAGGTGTGATGTTTACAGCCCCGTTGTACTTTTAGCTATTTATCAGTAATGATTTTATTTCTTCTTTATATTATTATCCTTCTAACCCTATTTATTCTGCTACTCCTACTGAGCAATATTATAATGATTTTTTAAATTATTATTAGTAGTATTAGTAGTAGACCCCCCCAAACCCCCCCCCCCCCCCCTACTCAGCAAAATATATTCTAGAAGGAGACCCTCCACCTGTTTTGCAAAATTATTGGCCCACAGTGAAACCTTATCATGGGGCCCAGAATTTCTATCTACACCCATGACAAGTAGTATTGTGTTGTCATGCAGACTGTTGCTTGACATACTGTACAGGTGTAAACACATTTATACTTGGTAAAGTAATTCAGGCTCAGAGCTATTATGAATTAAGAAAAACGTCACGGCGCTGGGATTTAAGCCTTCAGTGTGATCTAGGCCCTTGTTCACCAGACTGCCTTCTGCGTCGGACACCATTCATGTGACTGATGTGCAACAACAGGAGCTTCTGGTTAAACAGACCAAAAAAGTAGTAGTACAGGAATCCAGTTAAGCCAGAACAAACAAACGTCACCTTTACATTTACCTAAAAGAATGCAATGTCCCGGCCTCCAGCCGTGTGGGTGGTTTGTTAAACTGTGCTGTTTGACAGAGTAGCCATTGATGTCTTTCATTGGACAGGGAAGGTCAAAGGTCACAGGAAGTAATCCAGCAGCTATATCTACGCATTGATCAGTAAGATGGTCTATTAACTTCTACTGTACCCAAAGAATCGAATCTGGGAGGGGGGGGGGGGGTTGAATCCAGTTTTAATGCACTCCAGGCCCTAGCGCCACCTGCTGGCCACTGTTGGAAAAACACTCACCACACCGACGGGGAAGGCGAGGACCGCCATCATCCAGTCTCTCAGGCTGATCAGCTTACGGAGCTGCTGCTCCTGTTCCCGGTTCTCGCTGCCCTTGGTCAGCAGGCTGGAGAGGTCAGTGAGCACACAAACCCCAAAGAAAACTGTCTGGATCACCTGGGACGGGGGAGGGGGGAGGGGGCGGCATTAGGAGACTCAGTCACAAACACACAGCAGCGACATGCTACTCCTGTAACTTCCACAGATGAAGCGGGTTTCGGAAATCACTTTTCACGTCTCCGGGTCGAGCCCCTGAAACCCACCGTGCTGGATCGCGATGCGTATCTCACCGACAAAAATACAGATAATAGAGAAACTGAAAGTAGATAGTAAACAAGTGCCCCTCCCGCTATTAGTCATGCCATCTTATCAGAAGCGCCATTTTCACAAAATACTCGAATTAGAAACGCCGCATGTGGTATTTTGAATGGCGTTTTAGTTTGGCCAGTGGGGGGGGTCAATCTACGCCTTCCGAAGTATTTAATGACCTGTGTGCTTTTAAGTGATACAGGGTCAGTCGTATAATCTAAGGGGCCAATAAAGGCTGCAGCACTACTTCTCAATGTTTGACGTAGTTTCACTTCAGAGTTACAGTCTCGCTTTCTCTAAGGATGGTGTGTCCGGGTGCCCATGAAAGTTAACTACATAACTAAACATAGGACTCCCTCCTTAAACCAGCTAACACCTCCCAGTGCTTAACTTCTACCGCGGTAAAGGCAACTGCAACCTTCTCAGAGAACGAGACAAAATCTGTCACAATAAGGTGAAAAAAAACAGGATTTCTGCAATTTCAGATCCTGGAAAAAAAAAGGCAACTGTTTACGTCCAACTGACAATGCAAAACGATAATCTGTGAAGAACAAGTTTCACTTCTACTACACAGATGAAATGCTACAAGAGGCCTTAAAAAAAGAACAGAAAAAAAAATCAACGCATCTATCTTAGATTTATATCGTACCTCGTACCACAGAGCATCATGGGAAAGTCACAGTACAACTGCATTCGCTGACATGGGGGGAAAATATCAACACTGTAAAGAAAGAACAGTCATCTGAGTTATGAGGTATCTGAGGTATAACCAATAATCAACACCGCAATATTACAGAAACAAAACGCACCACAGCACCCGATGGTCCCAGAACCCTAATCTCTTACTGTCTCAGCTTACGTCAAAAAGAGAGCAGGGCATTTTTAAAAAGGTCTTGTAAACTCTTCCATAATCATGTAAACTGTCAGGGCTCTTTCACATGCGTCCCGAAGAAAGCTTTCCTTTAGAAAAACAAAAAAAAAAGATGAACGATTATTAGATATATGCTAGGTAAGAGGCAAACCAGGGGGGCCTAACAATTTCTCCCCAAGGGTGAAATTCCATTAGCAACAAAAGCCAAGGTCCTCTGTGTCTGAAAAAAAATTAGGGGGGGGAGTTCAGACTCTACAAGGAAGAGCGTCTGTCTGTACCCTATACCCAAAAGGTAAGTTGACACAGGATTTTTTACCAGACTCTGCTGTAAGCATTAGTGGAATTCAATGGTGGAAGCTATTTCTGCATTAAATTAAGAAGGAAGATGTAGTGTGGCTTTAATTTATCGCCTTTTTGCTCCTTAATCCCTAAAGCTGAAAGGCTGACTTTTATTCTCATTAAATCGCTGTCTCGTCGCAACGCCGATCGCAGACGCATCGCTCAGGTTGAGGACATAAATAACATCCCCGGCCATTTCCTCAGAGGACGGCTCAGAATTTTACTGCTTCTGCCAACAGCTAGGGCTAAAACCACCATCCAGGTTTCCTTTCGCTGAAAATAAAATGCGACTGGCTTGAAAAACAGGCTTCTAATAGCCGAGCGACGCCAACAGCTGGGCATTAGGTCGTTTACAAGTTCTGAGTACTTTTCTCCCTCAGAATCCAAAGCTCTTGCGAGGCTACGATCATCATTGGATTTGAAAGTGAGTAATAAGCCCAGGACTCTTACCCGAGCTAAGGGCCAGAACAGAAAATAAGAATCGCTGTAGATGATGTGAACAATCACTACAATCACACAATGAAATTCAAGTCGAATGATTAAAAAAAAGCAGATTGGGACAAATGACCTCATCATGTTTTGCAAGCGGCTTCCCCTGAGGCGAATCTCAGTAAGGTCCACGGCAAAGTCCTTCGAGACAGATTCATCATCCAGATGAATTGGACTTTGTTCACCTCTAAACTCACTTGAACTTGACCTTGGACGAAAATGCTTTAACACTCTTTTCTTTCCCCAAAGTTTCCTGTTCCAGAAATGTTGACATTTGACATTCATTACAAATTACGATACATTAAGTCATATTTTTTAATCTGTTCTGCTATTATTTTTCATAGCAGTCTTTGGTCTGAGTATTGACCCATCATGTCTGCGCAATATTTCAGTTATGGTACAGTTTCTTGGTGCTGCTATGGGCTATAGTGTTACTGTCGCGCATTTTTAATATTTAAATTAGAAACTCTGATAAAGCCACTTCTTGACCATAGCATAACAACATGTTTTTTTTTGCACTTGCTGGACGACGGAGAAACTGAGATGTTTAACCAATCAACATGTTACCCAAAACTGGACCATGCTCCTCTGAATTCCTCTTGGTGAATAGCTCCACCTCCCAGTGACGTGTCCCAGGAAAGCAGGTGAAAGTTAAAGCAGGATCCAGAGACACAACACCAATTTTGTACTGGGATCCAGTAAAAGACTGTAGGTGATTGAGATCTCCTCCACTTTGGTAATCTGGAGGTATGTTCAGAGACTTTAGTGCAGAAAAACAGGACCCCCCCCCCCATTTGGGACCCCCCTATGTGGTCAGCAAGACCAATATTAATAACATAGCGACCATTCCTCCAGGAGCGTAATGCAAATCAGAATCACTCTGCTGTCCACAGGACATCAAACCATCACTTTTCTTTTCAACAACTTCAAAAAATTCCATATATTAATTCATCAAACAGTGTCATTTTCAGATATCAACCACAATTATATTATAAAAAAACAGCACAAAACAACCACAATCCTAGTACTTGTGACCAAAACCAACAGACCAAAAGTCAGGAGGGATTTACTTTTAAGTATTTCAAGATCCAGGCTTGCTGTCAATGAGAAGCTTTTTCCCTGTAATGGATTGCTGCAGCAAAACCTGTCTATATCTCCTTCTTAAAATCTTCCTGTTAATGCATCCTTGTATGCATTATGGATACTATTCCATGTATTACTATAGTGCACAAACATATTAATATATTGCACGTTACATTAATTTAGCAGACATAGATGAGAATTAAGAGAGAACGGGCATTAAGTCTCTGAAGCAAATGGGGTTATTAAGAGCCTTGCTCCACGGCCCAATGATGACATCACTCTGCCAGCCATGGGATTTGAACCAGCAACCTTCTGTACAGAGGCAGAGAAGTAAATACATTCCCCCTTATTCTCTGCCCTTTATAATAGAGACACAAGCCCCATCTTCAGTCTATACATTAAACTGAAGCAGGGACTAAAATTAGCAAAAGTACAACAGTGTAACCAGTGGTTGATGAGGCGTGCAAGTAATTTGTTGTTCAAAGCTTGACCTTTTGTAGCTGATCAATGGTGGTACTGTCACACACAGCTGAATTTGACGCATTCCTGTCTCCCTGAGCAACAATGGATGTGTACCACATAAGCAACAAGAAGATGTGCACTACCAAGATAACCTTAGAGTCAGTGCTGGAATGAAGGGCCTGTTTGCAGATTTCCGTACTCAAACACAGTCACTAAACCTGGTATTTAGTTGATTAAGAAGCGTTTGAGCAGGAAAATCTATGGAATTGGGCAACCCAGATTTTCCACACCATTGTGTAGAAATTCTTCCATGGTCCTCCATCCAGGATTATGGGGGGGGGGGGGGGCAAGCCCATTCCAAGGAGCAAAGGCACACTGAACAGTTTATGGATGCCAATTAACTTAACAGCATGTCTTTAGACTGTAGGTGGGAGATGAGAGCCCAGAGGAACCAGCACAACATGGAAAAAACATGCAAACTCCACGCATGGAGAGCGGAGGCGAGATTCAAATCTTCAAGCCTGGAGGTTTGATGTGACAGCGCTACCCATCGTGCTGCCCCATCTGTGGACCAAATATATCAAATTTAATTTGGACTGAATGCTTTCGGTTCTAAGCTCTATTTCATGTGAACGGTTTGAACAGACAACGATTAATATCCTGTCGCTCTGCTCTCAAGTGTGTCTCTGCAAACACACGTTTCAGTCTCCCTCCATAAAATATCACCGTCTAGTGTCACATTGGATAGCTATCAGTTCCTCTTCGTGTGACCGAGTTTTGGAAATCCCTTTTTCTGAGGACAACCGTGAGTCACAAGGCTTGAGACAGCTCTGAAATTTCCGAGACGACGCGATCAGACAGTAGTTGGCTACGCCTGTAATGTGCCAATGCTGTAAGTTTACAGAATTCCCAGCGCTCTCAGGGGACACATCACGGTATAGGTGATCTTTTGGGGTGTTTTATCTCCGCTGCTCAAGTCTATGGGAGGAAATAATTTTCAAAATATTCATGAGTGCATTCGCTGGTTTTTTCAAGAGAATATTGAAGCTATTTAATATTAATAAACTACAACACGTCTACCATCAAATCAGCAATGATTCCTAGAAACAAAATCTAATAAGGCACATAAAAAACAACTAGAAGTCAGTATGACAGGTACAAACATGTTTGAAAGTGTATGTGTAAGATGCTAAAATTATAATTTTGCCCTAAGTTTCCAGTTCCTGCTTTTCCAAGGTATTAGATTGCTTATTTTGTCATATATTACACTAGGGAACTACAGACCAATAACAGGCTATTTAAAATATTTTTTCCCTTTTGCTTTAAATATGGCCAGAAAAAAACAAACACAAACCGAAGACATCTGCCACGCTAAGACGCACAGCTCAAAAGTTATTGTTTCGGTGGAAATGCAAACAAATGGAGTATTTTACCGTAAGATTAAGGCAATTCATGCATGAAGTTTAACTGCGGTTAAAAAGCGACATGCAAGAAGTTTCGCTGAGCGGGCATTTGCAAAGCAGATTAAATGATGCTCTAATTAACAATGGATCAAAACGTGTTTACTTCTGCTTGGCCTGTTTCGTATTTGTTCACGTTTGCTATTAAAACGAGTTTAAAAAGCTGGAATTCTAATGTGGAAAACATGAGTCACGATCTGACTAACTGACAGGGCATCATGGGCTGAGAGGAAGCCGGGAGAGGAGCAGATCCAGATAGGATCGCGGCAGGGGGTGGAGGGTGTGTGCGTGTCTCTTATATCTGTGTATTTGGGGGCTGTGGTAAATATCCTAGTTTCCATAACCACATGCACATTGTCTTTGTAGTTAAATAAGCCGTAAAATCCGTATTAAATAGGCCTACTATTTTCTTCTGAAATGAATTGCACGGCATTATTGTTTCTGTTTCGTACCCACCAAAATTAAGTTTATTTAATGCCAGCTGACTGGCATTATAACACACACGTTTATGCGCTGCTGTCGCATCTCGATGGCATCTTCCAACATCCCAAATCGGGATCGGTGGGTCCCGTTTCGTAATTCTGATACTAGGGATGACAGCAGCAAAGACAATGAGGCATCGCACCGTGTCTGAAAGGTGGGGGATGGGGTTATTTGGATGGGTGTTGGCTTCATATGTTAATGTGTATTGCAAAGGAAAACACCAGACAGACGAGGCTGAAACCATGCATATTCCACCATAACTACGTCTAAGAGGCCCGGTTCCAGCTCAGGGTATGTGGTAAGGAATCGCACAACAGCACCATAGATGCGACCACCACGATCTCTACGCTTACTCATCGCTCAACATGGCTCATGATGAGAACAACGGACACTTACCAGATCTATGAATGTTAAAAACTTCCAGCTACCGCCGTAAGTTTGATGAGCGGGCATATCAACTGCTTTATAATTGCAGAGGATGGAGAAATAGGAGAGGAGGATCGCTACCCTTAAAACTTGGGAGGGGATGAGCGCCATGTTTTTTTCGTTTCGTTTTCGTCTTTGGCTATATCCTCTTGATGCAATGATGTTGTTATGTGGGTATCTTTCTGTGCGGGGAAGGAGGGGATGGTGACGCCGGGATGCAAAAATGGGAGGCGACGTAAGAGGAGTGCGCGCAGCGCGTGCGGAGAAGGAGGGGATGTTGTTGTCATGGTGACGGAGACCGTGGTCCTGAGCGTCTGTGCCCGGGAGTTAGGGGCTGAACCCGTACTGCAGCAATGACGACAGCCAAATTTCATCATCTCCGAGGCTCTTCTCCTCACCTAATACGATTTGCATTTGTTTTTTTCGCAAAGTCAAAAATGATTACTGCAAAGTGTGTACTAGATGATTATTTTTCCAGATTTTTTTCATAGGTCTACTTGTCGTCCATATATTATGCGGCCCATCCGAAAATTAAATAAAATCTGTTTAATCTTATCTCATCTCATAACTGAATTATAATTTATGTTAACGGAGTTATTTGCCAAATTCATTTCCTAAACATATATTCGGGGATTTCACACACGCTCCGTTCTCTCAGAAAGCAGTGTGAAACCTTGCTTTAATTTCATTTAAAGTGTGGATGTTAAAATTTGGCACACGCAGACTGTAACATCCTTGCATAATAGTTGTAGGTCTTTTATATTGTACTTAACCGTACCACTGTGTAGTTTGGGGACCTATAGCAGTAATCTCAATCGCTGCTTGCCCATAGTGACACTGGGAACATTCCAGGCGCGGACTGGCCATCGGGAACTCCGGGAATTTCCCTGGGGGGCGGTCTTGTGAGGGTATTTTCTTCCCCAGCGCCAGCATTATAACCTATATGATCGCGATCGGCGACATATATCAAGGCGGACCCTCCTGTCGGCGACAAAATAACAAATTGTGGCCGCTTGACAGCAATTTCCCGTGCTGCTGGTCCATCCCCGTTGCCGTTCCGCCTCTGGAGCGCTCCGAGTCGTGGAGCGATTCTAACACAAATCTGCTTTCCGAAATCATACACTAGCCTGTGTGGATTTATTATTCCCTGAGCGGCATGCTCGTTCTCAACATTTGACATGTAAAATCGTTTTATGGACCGTGTGTAGTCTGCACTTCACTGTGGTTTTTAAACTTTTATGGATTCTTTGGAACAAGGCTGCCAACAATAACCAATGTAGAAGCAGGTCTAGGAGAGCATGAAAATCAAAACGTATTTTTAAAGAAGGGATTTTTTTAAAACCCGTTCTCCATAGCAGAAAGATAAACCAGAATAACACTAAAAATGACTTTACCAGAAAACCGTTGGAATGACATCAAGCTCGACAAGAAGGCTAAAACATGTCCCGGTTTAAATGCATTTTTCTAAGTCTATAGTCCCACGGTTTTCTTGAGGCGCCCAAGAAGATTACAGGGTGAAATCCGTCACCTGAAGCTGCCAGTCAGAACCATCAGCTAGAACATCATGGATTAGATGTTTCTGCCTAGAGCTTTTCAAACGTCTATGAGGGGTTACGCAGGTGTTCTGGGCCAGGTGGAAGGCAAAGCCTCCAACAAGGTTTGCAGAAGAGGTCAGGCTGAGAAGAACGAGATCATTGTGGAATGTGACAAATGGAGCAGTGCATGTAACTTTCCATATGTTCCAGGTGTCCATTTCTAGAAGAAATGTTCCTTTTGCTCCTGCCTCTCCTCTCTTCCATCTCTACCTCCCAATGTATCACTTTAATCTTCTACAACATACAGGAAGACACAAACACATATATTCTCACACACAGTACATGCTCACTGCTATGGTTGAAGTACAGTTTGCAACTTAAACAGTTTACACATACTATATATACTGCAAATGAACACCTAATGGTTCTGTCATTGTGCTTTTTTCTTATTTTTATGTCCTTTCTTTTGTTCTTTCTTTCCTTTCCAATGATTTACTGTCACCTTGTTGTATGCTTTTTCACCCTCTAATAAAAAAGAAAGGGAAAATGAATGAGACTGGCAGAGGTGTGAGCGGTGTGGCTTACGGTCACTGCGGATTTACTGAAATGGCTAAGTAACGGTTCCGTTCGTTAAATACACAGATATGGTTGCAGCGAAACCAAGCTACGTACGATGTCCTGGAAGCATGTTTCACGCTTGAGATGAAACTTCGAAGTGTTGCAACACCAAGAACTAAAAGATTCTCCAGGGTCCTGGGCGCCAGCGCACACCGCGAAGGTTTCGCTTGTCTTGTCGCGTGACGTTTTTTTTCATGAAGGAGCTGCAAACAGCCGCCCGGCGACCGCCCCGGCAACGGCTGCCTAGTGCAAGGAAAGCAGGCCGAGAGTTGCCAGAGAGCACAAGCTGTCGTCGGCTCGCTTGTGGTTAGTCGGAGTGGGGGTGGGCAGGCAGGCATGATACTGTTTTCTGGGGTTTCAAGCAATGCATAGTCTAACCTAAACCACCACCCCCCCCTCTACATGCACCCTGCCCTCAATGCACAGCACTGAACACGTCTACTGCGAGCATGTACATGGATATAACACAACAAGATTCAGTCAGCAAGAGTAACCGAATAGCGACCTTCCCAATTCCAAACCGATCCGTTGAGGCTCTTTTTTGAAGAGGTATCTCTTACACCCCCCTCTAATTCCCGGCTTATAGGAAGGGATGACTTTGGAAAAATGATGACTATTGATATGGAGTGATTTGGTTGAAGAGCCACATTAAACCGTGCAGGCGGAGGGGAGATCTCATCGACATCAGCTGACTAAATGTTATCTGGTACCAGATTTACATTTTCATGTTCAGATATACTATGGCGCCGAGGTTCTTAGGAAGAGCTGATGTCGACTTGGCAGAAATACCCTGATTCTGGGGGTTATTAAGCCCCCTAATGTACCCTAGAACAGGGAGTCCTCAAACCTTTTAACCAACGGACCAGTTCAATGCCATTCAAACTTTCAGAAGGCCGGACTGGAGTTGAAGTAGAGAAAAAGTCATTGTAACCAACTTTCATTCTATGTACACTATTTCCAAGTACAAGATTAAATGAAGCGTTATTTAAAATAAAGATTTTTAAAATTAGATGCTCACCGGAGGCAAAGGATTGCAGATTGGGGGGAGTATTTGGTGGCTGGAGGTAAAATTTCCTTACTGGGTGGGGCGGGATTGCAACGGTTAAACATCTTTGTGGGTTAATTCATCCACCACTGGGTAGCAGAAAGATGCATTTCTGGGACACTGAGCATCATTCGCGGGCGTCAAGGACGAGGAGCTCTTTATGAGAGACTCCTGGAACTTTTGAGCAAAGTTGGATGTTAAGTAACAGATTCACATTTTATTGTGAATGTTTCTACAGATACTAGCTACATTTGCTTTGCTGCATTTTTCATTATGTGTCTCCTCCCATGCATTTTCTGTAACTTCTCTTAACTCAGACCCTCAGATTAAGGGTGGAAGGCAGGGAACAACCCAGGACGGGGGACCCAGCGCAGGGCACACTCAGCGCCGTGTAGCGGGCCGGACTTTACGCACCGCTGATCCTGGTGAAAGGGCCAGTCAGATGTACTGCATCCGGCCGTGGTTCGAGGACTGTGTGCGCCCCCTACAGGGCTGCCGGGCTGCCGTCCCCTGCTTTGTGTACTTCATTCAGGGGCGTCATAAAGGAGGACAACTTAGGACCATTCCAAGGGCCCCCTATGTTTGGGACATAATTGGATTAATCTGGGTTGGGGAGCAAATATGATGTGCTTTTATGGGGCCTAAAATCTCTAGGGGACACCCCTGCCTGTGGTCCCAGGGAGAGGATCAGGTCAAGTTACTTTATTTATACCCACAGGCAGATTAGGCTTGTGGTGAATAATCCTAGACACTTATCACACATGATTCACCTTACAACACGGGCAATTTAAGACAATAACTATAAAAATATAACTCAATAAATATAGTTTAAATACAATAAAATTAAGTAAATAAAGACAACAATTTAAAAATACTGTTTTACTGTAACTGAGACTTATTTATTTGTGTGATGGCTGCTAGATCCAGGTTTGTCCTGACAGGTGGGAGATGGATATATGGGACTTCAGTGCTTATGTAAATCTCTGGGGGCGGAGCAAACAAACACAAACATGCACCTGAGGTTGTTGGAACGTTCCGCTCTTTCTGTGAGCTGCGTGCAGGTGATTGCTGAGCTCAGAGCTAAACCGGGCGTCAGAGCCTACGGTAATGAGCATTCTGCCTTCCAGGGACCAGTGCTGACACGGGTGCGTGTCTGATTGCAGCAAAGCAGGTCAGGTGCCGTGAAGGAGAGTGTGAGAGCGGGGCTCCTTGAGGGACTCGAACCCGCGACAGGACCAGACAGCTACATCGGCACAAGTGCCAGCACTGGACAGAAGACATTCCTTATATAATGAAAAAGTCCTGCCCTTGTGCCCAGATTGAGGGGATTCTGCAAATTAGCAGAACCCGTGCAGACAGCATGCTTAATGTATCTGGCTGTCCATGCTTCAAGAACCCTCTCTGGGCCCTGAGACTGTACAGTCCTTACATGACACGCTAGGCCCATATTAACGTCCTATGGCACAGGTCACTGTGGTGGCCTTTGTATCGAATTGTATGGTTCCCTGACAACAGTAAGTGCTGCTTAACATTCGGGAGAGAGATATTTAGATTCAGAGACAGACTTTCAGTTTGGGAACGCACTTTTGATTACATCAGCTAAATGTTATTGGAGCTTTTTTTTTTTCCATATTGCATTCCTTTCTTAGCATGTAGCTATTGTTTGATAGACGGGTACTTCGATATGCAGTAAATTAGTGATCAAAGAAATAATGCAAGTTTATACCGAGAGGTGCAGGGGTGACGTATGTTTGTGTGCAGCTTAACTGTAATGACAAAATGAATGAAAAGACATATCTGTCAATCTGTTAAACATGCTGTGCGCTGTGGTGCTGAAAAGCTGTTCTCTGACCAGAGGGCACTTTGGGCTACCCAACCTCCCCCCCCTTCTGGGAGCCTTGTTCCATGTGAATAGCAGATGTCACAGCCAGGAGCATAGCCTCATGCCCAACCTCATGGCTGAAAATCAGTCCCGCTTCCAAATGTAGAGGCACGGCTGACCCGTCTGCTTCGCTACGAAACACGGGGGGACTCCCCCTCTCCACCGCGGTCCCATCGCAAACGTCCCTTTCTGCTCTTGACCATTATTTGGCTTGAAATTTCTCGACTGAGGCACTTTGGATTTCACGTGAGACTTACGTCATTCATCCGTTTGCCTACGGTTCTAATTTTGGTGCCACTGCACTCCCTTGATGTGCTTTTATTTTATATAAGCGCAAAACTGCAGCATCCCCAGGCGAAGTGTGTCCACATTGCCCAGGACAAGGGCAGAAAGCCCTGTCTGGTGAGTACATTACAGTAGAACCCTAAAATAGCACTCGGCATGAAGGCCTAAGGATGTTTGGTATAATGGTTATATACAAATGCTGGCATCAGACTGGTGTTTGTGATTGTTTACCAACATCAAAGTCTGGCCCATCGATCTAATGAGCAGGACCTGCAGACCTGTTGTCTCTCGCATTTCTTTCACCCTTGTCCCGACCTCCTAATTAGCGATAAGTTCTCCTCATAAAACTGCTTGATTTAACCACACTGTTAATCACAGATAGCTGTATTTCTGCAAAGGTGTTGATTGGACTGTGTGAGAGCTACCTATTACATCTTCCGCAAAGAACCTGAACTCCTCGTTGAACGAGGCTTCCGGGCCAGAGACCTGCTGAATAGGGATCTTGAACAGGGAGCAGCTTGAATGGACGATTGTTGTGGGAGTTTGAATGAATCTAGACATCGTTAGATTTGCGTCTGCATTCCATGCTGTAGGATTCGCTGATGCAGTCCAGTCACGCGTGATATGCTGTCAACTGATGCACGTGAAAGTCACTACCAAGAGTGTCGGTACTAGAACAGCTCATTCGGTAAAACGAAGAAGACGAGAATGGAATTATTTTAAACAAGATTGTTATATTGAACCCACGGAGCCCAGATGGTACCAAAAGTCTGGCTCTGTTCACGGGGAAAGGAAGGTATGTGAGCGAACCTGAAATTTTAAACGATGTGTGGAAGTTATTAGCATCCGGAAGGACACTTGGCACTTGTTGTTATGTAGTCACAATATGCATTCCAGCCTACGGAGTTTGAGACAGGACAGTGAAAAGGTGCAGAAACGGGAAGTGGAATCTTTGGCAGCCAGGACGCTCTGTGCTGGGGCACGCTGCTGGGTGCCACTGGGTGCCACTGGGAGGTAGCTAGCAAGGGGGTCAAAACACGGCTGCCTGGACCCAAAACATGGGTGGCCATCTGACCAAGAGAGAAGGCCTTGACCAAACAGCACCCGTGAAATCACATAAGCCAAGCTAACAAGGGAGATGATTAACGGGGATTTAAAAAAAAAAAAAGAGTCGTGATGCCCAGCAAGTGATAAAAACAAAGCCGGCAGTGTCACAAACGTGCGCTCGCTTTGTCATGCATCGCACATGGTCAAGTGCAACACAAACTGCGCCGGGGACCACAGCTTATCATCTGCTGTTTGTTATCTCTAAACGAAGTGGTCCTATTATCATGCGCTCGGTGACTGAATGGCTGTTTATCTCATTTTTCGGCCATATTTAAACACTTCTTCTTTTTAAATAAACCCATGGACGGCTAACAGGAACAAGCTACGGAGCTCACAGAGCTGTGACTGTCGCCCACCCCCCTCTTTTTTCTGTAACAGAAAGCAGACACCAAAGACGTCTTACGGAACTCCAGAACGGGCCTCCGGTGGCGGTTAACCAGCGGACCCGAACGACCCGAAAAGGTCGCTTGTTTAAATCTCGGCTTGGGGGGTTGCAGATATACACTGATCAAAGAGCGCGACCGGAATTGTTGAGAATTGCATGCCCGGTTAAAACGAAAGCGTCCGTTTTGTGCGATGCATTAATCACGTCGGATAAAAGCTGCTGCTCCTTAGGCCACTCAGAGATAATGGGTCTAACGCTTGGCACGGCGGTCCATGCCCATGCCGCTGGCACCCTGCCTTTCACGCTGCCTGCATCCCCTTTAGTCACGCCGCTCTCTGCAAGCCCATTTCCTCGATGCGCTCTGGAACGGCCACAGACTTTGGTCTGGGTGTTTTTTTATTTTATTTTTTGTCCCCCTCATTGTCTTCACCCAAAGACCAGTCTAAATCAACAACCCGCCTCTTCCGCATATACCACGGTATACTCATGTGCCTTTTTCCAGTGATTTAGAAGCAACTGGTGACCACTGGTAAGTCATATAACACTGAGAATAAAATGGCATCAGGAGCCAGAAGCATCCAATCAAAAAGGTTCAGTTTGATGGTGCATTTCAAGCTTATCGCTATGGGTGTTTTTCGATATGTGTACTTGATCGTGCTTGTGTCCTCGTGTACCCGTTTTATATCTTCTTCCATTGCCGAAGACCGGGTCCAATACTAAGAACACAAGTACACGAGGACAGCCTCAAATATCAAGGATACATCAGTTGCATCCTCGCCAGACAAAATCAATCCCATGATTCACTGCACCGTATGTTCGTTCTTGGGAGGCAAGTTAGCAAGATCAGTCTTGCCAAGACCACAAGCACAATCTTTGCTTTCTTGCTATTGAGAAAACACCCCATATCTCTTTGAGGTTGTGATCACTTCTGTTCATCACAAGTGGTTAACTTAGCTGATGAGAAACTGGAATGGCTTATCTCCAGGAATAACTAATCATTAACATCAAGTAAATACAACTGGATAGCCATTGTTGACCACGCATCGTCAACGGTAGCCATCTTGAGCCTGGCCCTAAACTCAGAGTGACAACGCGGGCACCAGTTCCGTCACACGTCTGTCACCTTTCGTCCCAGCGGGACGTCTATTTGAAACCCGAAGGTAGCAGTGACCCCTGTGAATAGGATTAAGTACCTTTATTAATACACAATGAATATTTCAAAATGAGTTATAGGCAATCATATTATATATTAATATATTAATGAAACTGTCATTAAAAAGGGAGATATGTATGGGCAGAAAGGCAGAGGAATCCAGCGACCCTGTGCGAAGACAAAGGTCACGGAATGTTCTGGGGGGGTTACAGGCGGAACTCGGCGCTGAGCCACTGCTGTACAGACATGGGCGGCTTGTCAGACGACAATAAAGGAAATGCAAACATCTTTGAACGGTGGAAATGGTCCTGTGCAAGCTCTGGTCTCATTTCAAAGTGGAACTGTTCTGTTGAACCAGACGTTACGGATGTCATGTGTTTAGCACATGGTAGCCCAGTTCCTGATGGGGAATATGGTCCGGCTCAGGAGGGGTACCATCATCAGCAGAATGCCTAGGATTTCAGCCGCTGCTACTAATGACGGAAATTTTAACCTGCATGTACATTTCCTGTATCCATCCATCCATCCTTCTTCCAACAGTTCATACTGGGCATGGAGAACCTGCGGTCTACATTCCCTACAAGCGAATGAATTTTAAATTACCTGTTTGGTAGACTACCTCAGATGTAATTTTAGACTACCTGTTTGGAACTGAAATTTCCATAAGGATGATGTTTTAGCTATCGGAAGTCGGTCGTGTTCTGTTAGGACATGAATGACACTCTCGTACAAAAGGACGCACAGCCAGAGTACAACCACTAGAGGTCTCTGTTAAGCACGTCAAAAGTTGAGTGCAAAGCCTTTGATCGTCTAGAATGGCACTGGAGCTGACCATTCTCAGATAGTTGCCCACGTGTGACCAAACACATAGCACATGCTTTACTTACTATTTGAATTTCCCGTTCTTATTTCTAATTAGCATCGCACCTGTTCGTGACTTCCACTAACCAGCGCTGACTACAGCTTTGACTCATTTCTATACTAGTGCAGCAGTCGCCATGTGCACCAGGGAAAGGTGATCGACTGTGCTGCAATGGAAGTTTGCATTTCTAGGCGACCTGCAGTGTGCACACAAATGCATCCGAGCATCACAGGACAGCACGATATGTTGTCATCGTACAGTATCCAGGCAGGTGCGGGGCAGGTACCTCAGGCAATCAAGTCAAAGGTGGATGTAGAAAAGAAATAAATTGCAGTTGAGAACAACATGTAAAGTGAATCCAATGCCTGATTATGCAGAAATGTAATACTAAAATCAAGCAAAAATGTTTCGACAATGAAGTTTCAGCTAAAAGCAGCACTGAAAATATATATTTAAAAAAACTCAATAGGGCTGCAAAAGTAGCGTATAATGCTGTCTAAATTCAGTACTGTGTGCAGAAATACCTAAGAAGAGCTGCATCAGCAGCTCAGGGAGTTGATCCTAGTGGTTTATGATGGGAGAGCAGGTAATGACAGGTATACAATGGTGAACCCAAGCCAAAGTAATTTCTCACGTCGCGTAACCACCCTGTGTTACCCTTAAGCTAAATTGAACTTTGTCAGAATCAAGCCGTCCTTATGTAATTTCCCAGTAACTCCGCCCCCAAAGAAGAAAAGGGATTTCTGTTTATGACAACCCACTAAACATTGGACGTCGGATAGACGTGCAGATCATGTCTATATTGGGTCCGTCAGTCCATGACCAATTCTGGACATCTATACAACGTCCAAACTAGGTCCACAATTTGAACGTCCATCCATGACCCAACTTGCACGTCAATATGACATTCAACATTTAAACGTAATTTTTTGGACGTCATGTGGACGACTATGACAGGTGCAGGAAATATAGTTTTATTTACAAATATCAACATTGCTGTTATCAACAATTTTATGTGAATACAGATTATTTATAAACAAACATGATTTATTATGTTTTAGCATATTGATTTATTCAGTACGGGGATTTTTTGTTCCTGTTTTTCTTTAACTGGTTTATTTATTTCAATTAATCAATTTATTTGTTTATGCATATATGTATTTATCCATATATCTGATTATTTATTAGGAAATGGAATTTGTGGGAATTAGAGTTCTGAAAATATATCCAGGGCTGCATGCAGATAAACTGGTGCGCAAGTACGCATTCACCTTTAAAAGCGATATGTGCGGCAATCAATTGCTGTGACAGTGCAAATGCGTACGTATTTTATATGCATTTGGTCCGTCTATACCACAAATGAAGTACGAATTAGCATATACAGGTTAAAATGCACAATAATTTCTTGTCATATCAGCGCAAATGCACATAAAATACGTACGCATTTGCACTGTCACAGCAATCGATTGCTGCACGTATCGTTTTTAAAGGTGAATGCAAACTTGCGCACCAGTTATCTGCAGCCCTGCCTATATCTACCCTTAAAAGTGACGCCATAACAGCCATTCCTGGTTGACGCTCAAGAGAGGCAAAGATTCAAACAGTCAACGCCACTCTGATTGGCTGAGGCAACAAGCCAGACATTTTGGCGCGATACGGCATGTTCAAGGCAATGGAAACGGCCGCACGGATTTTCAGCCTGCTTCGCAAGTTCACTACCTAAATCCCTATATTGAGTCCACCCATCGTTTTCCTGTAAACTGAAGGTAAGCCTGGTCAGCCTAATAAATTCTATGTCCGTTTGTACGTACAGTGTTAGCTAGTTTAGCGTTTTTCTCTTAAATTCCCAAAACTGCTGTGGTTACAGAAGTTAGCATGTATTAACGGCACAGATTTATTTGTTTTGCCTTAGCTTGCTGCTATGTACAGCACTCTTGGTTCAGTTTCAATGGTATTTTGACTGTCCACGAGAGATCATGTCATTTAATGTAAATGTAAACTGTTTGTATCTTGCAAATTGTGAATTCGTATGACTATTAGGGTTGCCAACAGGATAGGTCGAAAGCTAGCTAGCAGCATGACAAGGAGTTCTAGCTCGTGGCTAACTAGCTAGAGTCCGTAGACGGGGTTCACGGAGGATTCGAGGTTGAATGATGTTACCCTCAGTGACTTATCATTCATTAAATGAACATAAGTTTTTGTCTTTTTCTGCTTGTGCAGAAGGAGTCTTGAAATTTGATGAGGCCGCCACTGAAGAGTACATCAAGATGCATGTTTCAGAGCACCTCAAGCATGCACCTCAAAGACATGGAGGTGGAGTATTCACTCAGGACTGATAAGCCCAGCCTACAGGACTTTGAACCAGAATTGTTGTACCCCATGTTCGTTCTGAAAACCATGTGAAAACTGAGTAGTGCAGAGCAGCCTGTAGCAGTTTTAAGTTGTAGGATCTCTAGAATGTCTTTCAACTGGTGCCATGATGATGCTGCTGCAGTTCCAAGTTCTCTGTTCAGATGACAACTGTCACTCTGCCCGTGTCTCTCTCACACACACACACTTTTCCCAAATCAGTTAAATTTATAGGCCTTACTTTGTGCCCTGATGTCTTCCTTTATTACCAATGTTATGTGTCAATGGTGCTGAACTGTGTCTGGCTTGGTTTAAGGACTAAAGGCCAGGGGTCACAAAGTGTATTAGGTCAGGTATATAGACACATTTCAGAGCTTCACAATGTTTTGGATGACAACCAGCAGCCCTGTTTGTTTTATTATTATTATTAGTAGTAGTAATATTATTTTTTAATAAAGGTTTAAATGGGGGTTTTGCGTTGTGATTTATTTGTCAACCTATGTGTATAACTGTTACCCATGTTTCCAGAGGGTGGAGGGCATGTTTTCTGAACCAGTTGATTTTCCTGTAGCTTTTTGGCTGAACAGGTAGTTTGAACTGGAAATGCATTACAACTTTGTATGCGTCTCCAGTTATCCGAGACAGTCAAATTAAGTTATTGGAATATGAGCTAGTCCCATTTCAGAAGGTGGCATACTGTTCCAGACCATTTTCCAATAACTTCATTTGATTGTCTCAGCCACAGATAACTGGAGATGCATACAAAGGTGTAAACAAAGCTACTGAAAAATTAACTGGTGGCCTATAGAAAACATGTCCTGCACCCTCTGGTAACATAGGACTACAGAGCCTATAGAAACAGTATAAAAACAATGTCTAAAATGAGTCTAAGTTTGACGTTGAAAAGACGGCCACAGCGACCACATGTGGACTATAAATAGCTCAAACACAGAGGTCCCATGGACGTCAACACTAGACGTTCATTAGACGTCAAAAAAAAGACGTCGCCTGGCGTTACAAAACAACCCCTTCAGTGGACCAAAATTGGACGTCCAAAAACGACATATAAAAGACGTCATTCCGACGTCACTTTGCGCAGTGGGAACGCTCTGACTGTGCTGTTAGTCAAACAGGTCCAAGGGCTTTGTGAAGGTGGAGGATTGCTCTGGGGAAAAAAAAAAAGTATCAGAGGAGTTTTTAAAAAAAAAGTAGGGGGCGGGACATCTGGTGAGTAAGCGGAGACAATCAAAAACATGTCAAAGATCCATTGTGTTGGAAACCGCTCCTTTGTTACCTGGGAAGCATTCCTGTATGACACCTCTGTGATGAAGCAAACGCAGAGGTGAGATCCTGACCTTGTACACACATATCTCTAAGCGGTATTGTCATAATACCTTCCGCGGGTACCCTCCTGTGAGTTTGCATCGAACGGATGGCCTTTGGGTTCAGTCCTACGGCCGACTGTGACGTCAGCGACTGTACCGAATAACTCGTAAAACGTCACGATGGAGAATTTCACAGAAAAACAACACTGGTTTGCATAAGAGTATCATAGTTTCTTGTACATATGTAGCCGGTTGCTCAGCTTTACTTTTCCTAGAAACTTGGGTGTGCCTTGATCAATTTCAGGTTGAAAACAAGTAAGAAGCATGGAAATTAAATAAATGGGTGTGAACATTCTTAAATTAGGTATTCTGGTCTACAGCCCCAAAACAAAGGGAGCATTTAAGCTGACGGCTTGTCTAATTTGTCTTCACGTAATAGCAAGTATATTCGTAGTGTAATGTCAACACTTACGATTCAGCTATGTAGTGTATTCAACCAGGTGTAAGATGTGATGATCCATGTCCTGATCTCAATGAACTGTGGCCAGTGCTCCCACTCAGGTATTATAGGAGATTCTCTTTGGGACCCGTTCCAACCATGTTATGTATGACTAAGCCATTGTAATGCAGTGAGAGGTAGGATTCTGAAGGGTTGCAAGATTGTAATCTTCCTCTTCAGTCCAGCCCCGTAAATTGTTTGCAGGATGTGACGGCGAGGCTGGGATATTCCCAATTGGTTCCCAGAAACAGGGGTTTACAATATCTTAGGGCAATTACGGAAGACGAGCGGGGAATCCGAGATCTGAATAAAATGCGTGATTCACCCAAAACCAATTAGCAACTTAAAAAGCACCAAAAGGCAACTGACGCACAGCAAACCTACTGCTTGAAATGACAATCGTAAGATGTGTATGCAACTTACAATAAAAGCCTTTATCACAGAACTTAGTGTTCATCGTCCTCCATAAATTTCCTTTGATTTTGTAAGCAATCTAGGAATTGCTTCAAATTAGGCATAATTTGAAAACAACAACCATAGAACTATGAAATATAACTACGTGTAATCGGCGTAACTGATTCATCTGAGCCAAGCCATAACGAAACCGAAAGGAAACGTCTAATTCACGGGTGACCAGCTTTGTCTGTCCTCGAGGTCCTCAGCGCAGATTTAAACGTCTCCTAAAATCTTCAGGACTCTGATGCAGGGGTGTTCCGGGGACAGTCAGCTGCAGAGACATAACTGGTATTTTCCCTGTTTATACGGGTTGCATGGAAACCTGAATTAAAACCATTAGGTTCCTTCATTTAAATATTATGCTGTTTGCTTGAAAGTTAATTTAAAGCATATTTCCTCAGTAATTGGCTGATATGAACTGCCTTGTGTCTTGTCTGGTGTTCTGCTCGGCAAGCAGCATGTCACGTACTATTCTGATTCAAAATAATAATGGAATGAATAAGTAAGTCAAACGAACAGACAATACATAAACGTCTTAAACATGGCATTATTTTAGTAATACGTTTTTAATGCGGGATGCATACACAGATGTAATTCAACGAAAATAGGCTACCTAATAGTTAAAAGGAGCTCGCTCATATCGTGTATTTTGTTTGTAAGAAAATGTATTACATTTTAAAGAACTGTTCCCATTCTACAGAACATCTTAATAATCGGAACTGCGCACTATACATGGGATTAATCAGTGGTAATTAAGTAATTTAAGGCAGATCAGACTGGGCTGGGGACATGGAGCGCGCCACTGTACGGCGCGCGAATGGCGCAGCTCGCTGACAGGGCGCGTCTCCTCCCGTCCCGCGGATCGGCACGCGGCGGCCGCGGCACCGAGGGAGTTCCCTGCGCGCGGAGTGCCCAGGAGGCGGTTGGCGGGGAGCTTTCTCCATCTCTCCCTGACGCCGCCTCGCCGCAGCCTCACTCCGGGACGCGCTGGGGGATCCGATGACGTCACAGGCACACGCGCACACACACGAGCGCACACACACACAGACACACGCGCGCTCGCTCTCTTCGCTCTCTCCCCATTTCTATTCTGGGAAGTGGTGCCAGGAATAACCCTGTCTGTCTCCTGATCGCAGGCTCCTTCTCTAGCTTCGGCTGCTCAAAAAACTTCGCAAAGAGGAGGAATCCGGTGACAGTGTTTTTATCTTCTTTTTTCCGTATACACGGGCGGCTAGAAGCGCAGCGTCTTTGAAGAACGACACTCACTACATGTCATGAGAAGTCTGCCCGAAGCTTAGTTATTCGCCTTCTCTTCCTATTTCCCGAAACGATCCGGACTGTTTGGTCATCAAAGAGAGAGGACTTATTAAACAATCTGCTGGCAAAGGGTTGACATTTCCTTTCTGGATGTAGCTGGACGTGTCTGGATGCACCTTAAATGTGACAAGGTGAGTGATTTGACAGTGGGTCAGCAGCGTAACTCTGCTGCAACGTTTTGTGACAGGCTGCTGAATAATACGATCGTGTAGGGGGTTCTGTGCCGTTTTACTCGGATATGTGGGGAAATCCCAGTTGCTTGCATGCAGATTAAGAATGTTGCGTAATATCCTGAGGAATTTGCACAGCAGATGCAGCGGGCAAAAACCTTGTAATGAACTTACTTGTTCAATCTGCGGCCGGAAGCGCGCATCCCCCTCCGCACTTTCCGACCTGAAGCACAAGTCTTTCGTGCTCCCGGCTAGTCCGCCGCCGTGGACGGAGCGCGATCTGGGTATAAATCGCCGCGGTCTGTTATTTGCATGTAAACCGTATGTATGTGTGCGCGTCTCTGGGAGAGGGAAGGTGGGTGGGACGCTGGCCCGTTCCGGGAATGTTCCATGACGTGTTAGCAGACGAGAGGGGGGCGGCAAGGGGTTTCCAGCCGTCGACGGCGGTCGCTGCACCATATGCAACACAGAAGTCAGTTCGGAAACCGGACAAATTCAACTTTGAAGCTGCATTGGCAGGTTTTTACTTAAATTATGTGTATTTTTATTTTCTAGCTACCCCGAAAATATAGTCATTAGACGTATAATAGACGTTAGAAATATAATATTAATGTCATAAAATATATACAACTGATAATTCCATATAAAGTACCGCTGATATTATTTTCAGGTTATCCATGTGTAAAGTGCAGATTAATTAGAAACGTCACCCCTCTTCCTCCGCCGTCCCCTAAGAGTGCACACATTCGCCCGTCATTTGCATTGTTTCCACTCCAGATGTGCAGAGACTCGCGGGGGAGGCGCGTTCGAGCAGAAGTTGTGAATTAAAATGTCTCGGCTGCTTCTGGCTTAATTTCCGCTTCAGAAGGACTTCTGATGCCATTCACCTGCTTAGGGGTCCCCGAACTTTGACCGGCACCTGGGCTTGCAAGTTCAGATCCGGATGGGAAAATCTCTTGTGCGTTATTAGATGTTTTTTATATATATGTGTGTTTGTGTGACACCTGCTAAGAGTGGCATATTGATAGTTGTTTTGAACTGGATTTTTCCTCTGCTCCGTACCTGAGTGTTTTAATGTTCCACACGGTATAAAGCTGCTTCCTCTTCTCCACCAGACAGTGCTCCGTCTACCCACGCTTAATGCATTTAAAAGACATCAGTGGTTTCAAAAACATGCCGTAGAGTCTTGGTCTCGCCATTGTTTCCAGCCCGACTCTGAGGTGTAACAGTAACTTAGGTGTGTCCTCCCGGTTTCGCGGAGATTCCGCGTGTGCGGAGCGTAGATGAAGCCTGTTGTTTTCCTCTCGCCCGCTGTGGTTTTCCAACACGGCGCCCCGGGCGCTAACGCAGCTCTACAGTCGCAGCAGTTCTGCCGGGGATAGGGGAGCAGGAAGCAGGATCTACCGCCCCCAAGAGTTAGTGCTCCCCGGGTGGGGGGTTGGGGGTCATTGCTCTTGTACCCTTGGGCGATGAACATAACCTGAATCGCCATAGTAACAACACCCAGCTTTTGAGGTGGCTGGCGTGTCAATCCGTGAGTCACTTCGGATTTGAGAATAATGGTTCATTCTGTGTCGGCGGCTGCAGCGGAGGCCTAGAGAGTTTGCACGGGGTTCACTGTAGGGCACTATGTCACATGCTCCCGGCGGCCTGGAGTGCTTGTGTGGATGGTGGAGGGGCTGGCTGCGTCCTGTCCCCCCGC